AGCCAAGCTAAAAGCACTGAATCCTGACGGCATAGCTGCCACAGTAGCCATCTATGTCAGCCGTGCCCCCCCATCCCTTCCCTAACTACAGCAAGAAGCCCCACACAAGATCCCCGGCTTGTTGCTTACTTGTTGATTCTTGTTGTTTTGTTGATCCTGGCGGGGGTGCTCACTATATATCCGGAAGACCTGTCGATGGATGATCACCACAACACGTTCGTAGCTTCCGCAAGCAACCTGTCGGTTTGAAGTGTCAAACCGTGCAACCGGTACCTTGATGTAACCTTGCGCCTTTAACTCCATAGGCCTGAGGATCTGACAAAGAGTAGTAGATTGTGTGATCAAGGTTCCACGCCCAACGGACAGATTGAGGTTTGGCATTCCCGTCTTGGGGTCTTTCCCGATTTCCTGAAGACGCTGAAAATGAAATAGGAAATCACACAAAAAGACAACATCACAGTGGTGCAACACCACTGTGCTTCGCTGGATTTGTGAAACTCGTCAGTTCCTCCAGATCTGCCGGTGCTTTGGACAACTGGAAGGTGTAGGCCATAACTGGACGTGCTGAACCCGGAAGGGCGAGAATGGACTTGTCGACGACTCGATAAGACCCACGAACCTGCGGGGTTTATATGGTCAAATGTTAGTCCGGTTGTTTCCAAATCACCAGGAGGTTTCGTTTGGCACCTTATGGCTTGGAGCCATAGCCACGAATTGGAGATCCTTCACGTCATGCATGCTTTGTAACATATTTTGACAATAGGGGTAAAGACCTGTTCCAGTGGATTTGTTGGCCTATCATATATGGATATATGGGATCAGAGGAAGCAAAACATCCATATACAAAGACTGAGAACACAGCATCAGGGATGGACTGGGACGAATTTCCCAATCCCTACCACGAAATTGATTTCAAGCATCGTGACCACGTTGTTCGTTCCACCTGCAATTTTCCGGTGATCTTTAACCGTTCAGCGAACCATGTTGGCGAAGATCAGCCTCCCAAAACCACCAGCTTGGACGACGATCCAAGCGACCTTTCCAGGAAGCCGACGAAGGGACTGCATAGACCCCAAGAGATGGTCGACTGGAGCCTGGCTCCACGAGAGAGGTTTTTAGAAGTTCTTCTCCAACTCCATAGGGGCGAAGACTGGTGTTTCATGTAGGGATCACGTACATTTGGGGGGGACCCAACCTCCAAACCTTGGAGGCCAAACCATTGAACAGATGTTTGACCAGTGGAGGCCAACCACGCACATCATGATTTTCTTGGCTTTTGCACTGCTAACACATGTGTTTTTTTTGCCTGGGGGGGGGGGCCGATTTCTTCATGCCTCACTCGGTGCCTCACCCTTCCCAACAGCGCGGACCGACCGGCACGGACCGTTTACGCGGACCGCCACGCCGACGCCGGCGAGTCACACGCGTTTCTTCCGCCCAATGAGGTCGACCCGCAACGGGACCGCGGTCGACTGATGATGCAGACGACTTTGAAACTGTTGTGGACACCTTTTTGCTTTGCCGTTTGGACACCTTTTTGTTCTGACAATAGCATATGGCATACAGTAGGGAGTACTGACCTTTCTGGATGTGTGGAAAGACGCCTGACGCCAAACAACCTGTGGGAAGACACAGAAAAGGTCGAAAGGCCTAAGGGTAGTTGGATCATACGGATTGATGGTGGAGACATTGATGGTGGCCCTGACAATTCGGAACAAAGAACCTGATGTTAGAATCATTAAATATGACATGAAAAGAACCTACAGATGATCATATCAATATCTGGATCTTCCAACTGTGCAATATGTATGCCTTTTCATCCATAAAGCCAGCTTAAAAGGCAGAAATGTTGCACAGTTGGAAGATCTAGGTATAACCATGTAAACCGACACCAATGGTCTTTGTAGGATCTCTTGTGCGGAGGATGTCTTCCGGCTGTCACAGTACACGAAAAGAAAACGGCCTGAACATCGGCCGAAGGATGGCTTCCAAGGAATTCTGGGCACGTAAACGACACCTTTATTGGATTTGCAAATCCCTGGGAGTCGGTCAGACTATAAAACGAATGGTCTGACGAACGGGGAACTGAGTTCGGGAACTTCCTGAAACCTTCAGCCGGTCAAAATATAGTCGAACTGGACTTCCAGGCTATATGTTCCTTTATGGTCTATGGTCGGAGGTCGATTCCGAGATTTGTGCAAAAATAGCGGACAAGTGCGATGGAAAAACCTGGCCCACAGCGATCGAGCTGGGTGGATGGAATCAAGGTTTGGTTGGAAGCTCGGCAAGTTGTGTTTCATTTCTCTGACCCAGTTACTTGTACGAACACCATGATTCCACTTGCATTTTCTGGCTTGTTGAATATCAAAGTCCTTCCACAATGGGCAGATGACCGGGTTAAACCACAAGACTGAAAGATGCAGGGCACGAGTTCCTATCTACAGAAGCTGCAGTATACATTGTAGAACTCATTTTAGCACGGCCGCACGGCCAGTGCCTTCAAGTACGGAAAGTTACCCTAACCTACCCAATCCGAAGTTCTCCGTCAATCCGAAGCCTTGGAAGTTGGGAACCCGACCACCTCGGTCGCGGTTCCGCCCGCGACCGCCTGTCCGAGCACGTCCGCGCATGATGGCCCCGGCGCAGGGCCTTGTACAGACGGAAGCCGAAGAGAATGGGTTGGCTCCATCGGTGCAAACGTCGAACGTCGAAGTAGCAGAGCCTCCGAATCCAATCGTGGCAAGCGGAGCTTATTCAGAAGCCCCCCCCAAAAAGAGCCCTTAAGCCTGGAGATGAGGGTTGCCCATCCAGGCATGGTGCGGGGTTAATCAACAGTGAACTGTACTATGGAGCTTCTCTCTGAAGATCCAGGAATCTAGCCAACCCGAATCCTAGACTCTGGGCGAGCAGCCAAACCGAAGTCCATGATGAGATGTAACCAAGGAAGGAAACCTGTAGTAGGGATAGCGATGTTAGGGCTTCTGTATTCTTCCTTACTCATTTGAGTGTGGCTCAAGAATCAAGGGACAAGGGTCAAAGAGTACATTCTAGATCTGCCGGATTTGGTTAAACAATAACCATGGTACTTTGCTATAGGCTATAGGCAGGCTAAAGATGTTCAATTCATTGACAAAGATGCCATCGAGACTGCCGTGGTTCTTTTGGTGTACGTTTTCGATACGGTGTCGGGTACCAGACATGGGGGAAGGAATGGTAATGGTACCATGTCCTCGACCTCATGCTTGTCCGGAATCGGTTCACTGCAGGATTGATCAGATTCACGGGTTCAGCAGTTTGGAGGTGTGTTGAGTTGGTTAAGGTTTTTTGGGCGTCAAAGTTCCTACAGCTTGCATTGGCTGGCGAATGGCGAAGGATTGCCCTGGCGCCAGCCCAGCGGCAGGGTAGCGCGGGGCGCCGCCTTTCGACTGTTGGAGCGTCTCTTTGGCTGTGCGATTGATGCGTCCTTGGGCTTTGGTACATCCTTGGCCTCCACCCAAGCACCCTCAAACTGCCAAAGGCTGCAAGACAGAAAGTGTTTGCACAGGTTGCTGCCGTTCTTTTGCTAGCATGTTGCAACCGTCAAGCGCAAGAGGTGTTAGGCCTGCATGTGCTCACACAAGACTTTCGGAGTCTCATGTCAGCATTTCTTGATGATTCTTGATGCAGCGGCAAGAGCACCATTACAAACAAGCAGATGTTTTATGTGCCGCACAGCCAACTGCGGCTTTTGTATTTTGATTGAGGTCTCCAGTAGTTTTCGGCCAAATACTAGTAGCGTCCAAAAACAGGTCAGGTGTGAATACGTTCAGGATGGGGGATGATCATGTCGCGTGACACCATTCGATACCAGCCAACACAAAGAGGGGGTCAAGCTCTTCCAGCCAAGACCTGGCCGGCCACCAGCGGCTCTATGGCCGTGGATGGTGTGTTTGTTCATGTTTGGCCCATCAGCTCCCACAGCTACAACCAGCTCCCACAGCCGAGTTCACACGGGTTTCTCTTAGACCTAGCGACCTAGCGAACCAGCGGAGTGAAAGTTGAAGCGCATACGCGCTGCGTGTGGCGTGGCAGGGTGGGCTTGAAGAATCCATGGGGTGAAAGCTTGCTGAGTATAGGCGTAACACCTGAATAGACCTGAATAAAGTATGAAATGACATGTTGAGGGTGTTGGAGAGAGGTGCATGGGTTGATGTTTCCACTCGTTTCCACACGGAGTCTTCGTGAGGGCGGATGGCAGGAGCTGGTACGTAACAGGTGTGAAGTGTACCAAAAGGCTCAAAAAGGTGCAATTGGCAAAGAGCTATACTGCAGCGTGGTAGTCTTGGGTGGCTGCCACCCATGACCATGATGGGTAGCGAGCTGGGTAAGGAGTGGTGCACATTCTGTACACTAGGGATCCGAGTTCACGCTGACCAATATCCCGAGGAGTGGAAACGCTCGGGCTGGTTGCAGCATGACAGTCTGAAAGACGATTGATATGTTCCTATTGCATGTATATGACATATCAAATTACTATCATATGTTCTATTGATATGTTCCTATTACTATCCTAATTATAACATCAAATTCTATTCCATATCATCATGTTCTCCGCAGGCCATCCCAACCCGAGGCCGGAATACAAGGGGTGGAAAGGAAAGGGCTGTCTGGAATGATCGCAAGGCTCCAGGCTCCAGTTACAAGGTGCACGGATCAAAACCCGGGCACTCTTCAGTCCCAGGGGCCGTTTTTTCTAGAGATGCTCCCAAAACGTGCACCTACCTGTCCAAGCCCGATTCCATTGGGGCCCCGGCTTGTCCAAGCCACCGGAAAGAATCCATATCGCGCGGCCTCGGACTGAGTGAAACCCTGCCAGTGACCAATGGTTTCCAGTGCGGAGCGCAGCACAAATCTGATCTTGTGAGCTTTCGGGTCGCATATTTCACACCATTTGTGAGTGAAGATGCATGAGGGGGACGACACCCGAAAGATGTCATGAATCATCATACATCCTTAGTTTAAAGCATTTTAGGGCTTTGATGCCAAGTGTTGGCGTCGCATGGCTGCTTTGCCCATGGCCGATCTTGGCATCATATTATCCGCGTGTGCCCTTTGATACAAGCCTGTATCCAGGATGATTTTCAGCTTTGCTATGAGGCTTTCGCAGGTGATGGATATGTAATATATACAACTAATCAAACCGCCGCTCGCCTCAAACAGAAGTTGGTTTGAAAGAAATTCTCCACAGTCCATGTCAGACAGGTATCCTGTTCAATCCTACGTTCTGGATGTCCCCTCTGGGACGCACGGTTCACGCACTGTACGCTTGTGCTACCACAAGGGCGACATCTCCTTCGACCTCTGCTGCGACGAACGCTTTGGACCGACGGGGAACCCTGATTGCTGGGACAGCATCGACACCTTCGAGGAGTCCCTGGGACCGATGACCGCGGGGTCGACCCAGTGACCGCGGTGAGCTGGGTATGGGTGTTTGGGAGGTGTCTTTCTCGGAAGCGGCACATGGGTGAGCTGGGAAATGTCTTCAACCAATGACCAAAATATGACCAAATGATACTGAATTCAATGACATCAAATGCGCAAGACAATGAGTTCTTCTTGACTTGAGATGAATCCCAATGACCAAAATACTGACCAAAATATAACCTGTACTTGAAAAACATTGCTTTCGACAACCCAATGCTGTTGACAAAGCCTTTTGGTGCCAGATGTCGGGGCAGTTCATGCAAGCTCAACCCCTACTAAGCACAGCTTCCTTGTACAGAGAGACCCTTTTTGAAGATTGCACCCATTGGTCGGTTGAAATGGTGCTCCATGGTGCTCCACACTCCAAATTCCGGTCCGCATCGCCCTCGTTTCGCCACTCCCGTTTCGCACGCATCCCTTCGACCGCGCACCGCGGCACGCCGTCGCACCGCCGCCCGTGCCGTCTAACCGGTGCGGGTCCGTCTAACGGACGTCCGTTTTCGGTCCGTTTTGCGTCCGGTGGGGAAACCGAGTACCGAGCCAAGCGAGGTGCTGTTCGTCTGCACAGTGGGAGTTGCTCACCACGCCATGGCCGCGAGAGAAGATCTTCCACAACGCGCACTTGGCTGTTCAGCTCGACCGAGATCCTAGGCATGGACAGGGAAAGGCGGAGAGAGGCAGCTCTAGGAGGAGCAAGGAGGAGTGTTGGATGCATTTTGGTTGTTGAAGATGCGGGTGCATACTGTGAGTGAATCACTGGGTATACACTGAGGTTCTGAAACATGGTTATCATGATCGTTCAGCTTAGCCAATTCAACGCTGTTTCTGCTGAGAAGGTGATGAGATGTTTAGGTATTTCCCACTAAGCAGAGATTTGCTCTCTCTCTCTCTCTACTATAGTAACAAGGGCATTCTCCCTCTCTCTCTCTCTCTCTCTCTTGAAGTGGACATGCAAATAGCACTCTGTGAGCAGCGTGAGGTGGTTCTCCTTCCCATTCCGTGCCTCCTCGCTTTGCCCGGACACCACGGGGCCTTCATCGCAAGCGCGTACAGCACAGATGATGGCGGGCATGCCAGAGCTGGAGCGCAGCAGAAACCATGGTGATTGTTTGATGTCGTTGGAAGCAAGCTACTAGGCTAAAGCATGCTAAAGCTTCAAAATGATGATGGCCCATGGCCCATCCAATGGGTTTTAACCCATTTTGCCAGATTCGGATTCCGTGCGCGCAGGAGTTTGCTGCAATAGCTGAGCAGATCAGGGCAGCCCTCAAGGAAGAGACCGCAAACCTGTGGACCCACGTGCGAGAGGCCTGCGCCCTGACCAAAGGCCTTGTGGCCAGAGATGGTTGGGGTTGCCTGGTCTTACAATGATGTGTGATATAGTATAGGGTTCTATATAATGTTGAGTAAGGGCAGGGATTGCAGTCAATAAATCAATAAATGTGTCTCGTCGATCAGCCGTCCGTGGTCATTTCATGTTCCCTCCTGCCGTTCATGAAATTTCACCATTTCAGGCTTGTTTGCGCATTGTTTGCAGTTCGGCCATGTTCACCTCGGCCACTGAATAGCTGTTTGTTGCTTTAAAGATACACCCACATCGGCCCGTCACATGGGTCCATGGGTGTGTATTGGAATCGGAGGTCTTCCCTCATTCGGCCCTCTATAGTAACAAGGAAGAGAAAGGATTTCAACCGATTGTCAAACGATGGTAGTGTACTAGAATAGTGGACAACATGCTACTTGATCACAAAAGCTTGGATTTCTTGGCCTCAAAAACTTATGGCCAAGCCTCCATCCTCTCAGGTAGCCTCTCAGCTTTGGTCGCTTTGACCATCTTCAGCGCTGCGTTGCAACAGCGGGTCTCCTTAGCCTCACGCGACCACCTGGCCATGCGAGTGGAAGAGGTGTGGCGCCAGTTCCAGGCGTCCGTGGGCGTTGTGGCCGCGAAACCCATGGGCAGACGTCCAGATGGGCAGGTTAGTCAAGTTCGGCAGTCCACGTAGATTGACCGTGTTCAGTGGATGCTTCGGTGCCATGACCGAAGAGACAGATGAAACCATCGCCAGTACCGCCATGGATGTTCTGTCATGACCGCTGACGAGCGGTGTAGGGCTTGAGGTAGCAATGGTGGTTGTGTTGGGGGGGGTCATTTGGGGCTGCCAGGACTGGAAAATCTCATCGTTCTCTGTCTGCCTCATCCTCAGGCCAGGATTCAGGTTCTCCATGCACTCTTCACGCTCGCCTTCCACTTCCCTTTCTTGTCTTCATGGTCATTCAACTCCTCAATGAAGCTCATCCTTCTTCTTTGCCACGTCCGTCCTCTCCTTTGCAGCCTCAGTCTCCTCAGCTCTGATTTCACACACTTTCACATCCATGACCAACGAATTCCTTTCGAGTCTCGCGGGGATCTGCCAATTCCGTGCCTTGTGCTCCAGAAACAAATCTTCTGGATCCTGCGAGAATCAGGCTTGCCTCAAGCAAAAGACCGTGTGTCACCCGTGGCCTAATGCAAACTGCTCCACAAACTCCACAATGGCAATGCAACCGACGATTGCTAGATGACTGAATTGGTTCACCTTGGGCATCCACCTTGTGGAGAGTCCACTTGCATTTCCTGGCTCTCCAAGCTTTGTGGAACTCCTCCGGTGCTGAAACTGCTGCACCGGAATCAAGTGTTTGCATGGTGGGTGGTTCCAACATGTTCCAATGCCAAAGGGTTCTTGACCATGCTATTTTGTTCCTTTTTCCTTCTGAACCTTTTTTTGCTTTGGCTCGTCAGGATCTTGTTAAGTCGAAAGTCTTTCCTCCGCTTGTACTTCCTTCCGCCTCCTCAACCTCTTCGCGTACTCCTCAACTGTCTTCTGGGGCTCCTCCCAATCAAAGAACAGCTCCTCCTCGCTGTCCTCCTGCACCTCTCGAATGGCTAACGGCATAGCCATGGGCCATCTTCCTCATTGTAGCTTCCAGCCTCATCCTCGCCTCCTTTGTTGTTCAGTCGAAGATCTTGAGCATCACTCACGCCCGGTTAGCGTGACTTGTCGTCTCCTCGAAACTGCCTGGTGGCCATTGGTGACAGAGGTGTAGTCAGTTCCTTGACGTTCTGAGGTTGTCTCATCCTCAACACGTTGGACAAGCTCCCCTTTTGGTGTCCCACGGTCCTTGGCATATGTAGTGCCCCAAGATCATCTTGCCTCTCGCCACATGAGTGGCATGAACACACGATAGGCCCCTTGCATTGGCTTCTTGCCTTTCTTCCCGGTTGTCTTCCCACTGGTTTTTCCTTGTTTTCCTTTCTTACTATGTTTGGACTGTGACCATGAGAATGTTCACTTCTTGCTATCACCATTCTTTCCTTTACTTCTTGCCATCAACTGTCCTTCCTTTCTTTCCTCCATTCTTCGACCAAACACACGGGCCTCCTTCCATCGGGCCTAGATCTCCTTCCTCCATGCCTTCTTGTCCACGCTTGCAGGAGGGTGCTTCATTCGACACTTCATGGACAGACTCGTTCCTTTCAGGTCCTCAGAGATTAAACCACTGCTGAAGTCTTCCAATCACCAGGATACACCATGGTGGCAGCCCGTATATCATCTTCAAGAATTCATCCACCCGTGCTCCAAAAGCTGTTCCACCCGCCCGTTTGGATGTTCCGCCGTCGAATTGAACCTTGTTCAGGGCCCTCCAGGCCTCAGAACACCACGAACCAACGGAAGCAACCAACGGTTGCGGCCGGCTGCTTCATCAGTCCATGGCAGAACCTGCCAGCCTGCGCGGCTGTTTGCGCTTGAAGGCTGAGCACTCACCTCAATCTTCTCAGCCTTTGAAGCCCTCTTCATGAATGTGGAGCCCATCAATGGCTCCAAGAAATGTCTCAAAATCTGAAAGCGCCGGTCGCCCCAATTGCTCACCTGCTCACGAAGGATTGGGGTGCTTCAAGTGTTTGGGAGAGACATTGACATCATCTCCGGCTTGGGGATTTGTACAGTTCAAGAGGTGTGTTCAAATCCGACGAGGAACCCCCAACTCCAATTGTGTATGTTCCTTCCGAAACGTAACATCATGCAGCCTGACAAACTCAATTCTGTCGTGTGTCCCAGAATAGCCCTCAGCAACCAAGATCGTTAGGAATGGTTAAGGACCAGGAAGTTGATCAGTGGTATGCTGTAAGTTACCCCTCCCCAAACAAACAGATTGTATTTGCAACCTGTGTTTTTGTTGAGGGAAGATGAACAAATGAGAATGGGTCTGACTCTAGGGGCTCATTGGGGCTTCCGGCCGGTGGGAGTTCTTTGTCTTGCACAATGATCTCCATAAATGTTGGGGTAATTGTGTCCAGCAAAAGCCGTGAGAAACTCACCTCACCCGCACTCGGTCGAATGTCATGAGGAGGCCTTGTCGGAGATTTTTCTGCAGATGAAGAGCGAGCATGCCTTGGTAGACATCACTGGGGTTCCTCTACTGGGATCGATGGAGGTGATCCTGATCTGGCAGCCACTCGGAGGTCGAAACGACGGGCGTGTCGGACCGGTGTGTCGGGGGTAAGGGTCAATCAAGTGATGTATTCATGTCATCGGCAACATAAAACAAAATGAACCCATGCCCCCCACCCCCTCACCCCAGTTTAAAACACACAACTAGTCTATGACAAGGTTTATGAAACCAATGACAAGTTCTATGATAGCGAGGACAAGTTCTATGATACTGATGACAAGTTCTATGATACCGATGACCGATGACAAGTTCTATGATGCCAATGACAAGTTCTAGGATACTGATGACAGCATAACCACCCACACTCCCCGACCCTGATCAAATTCTTCTCGCACAGTCACACACCCTGCGCGCACCAATAAAAACTCTATCCGATTTCCATGGTGATTTAACATCCGCACTGGGCGTCGAACCATCCGATCGGACCCAACAGCAAAGAGAAGCAAGCAAACAATGCTGCGTTGGCACTTCCCTCAAGGCACAACGTTGATCCATTCCGTGTAAGTCGCTAACCGGTATCGACTAATTATGTTGAAAATAAACGCATGTTCGTATGATTTTGCATGTAAATTGTCTACTGAACCGCCCGATGAAATATTCATCGGCGCCGCTGCATAGTTGAGAGGGTTCTCGTCCTCCAAGAGGTTTATAGTCGTGTGCTGAAACGAGTGTGCTTTTGGACGAATCGGAAAGCGGGAAAATAAGTCAATCAATGTATAGTTGTTTAAAAGGTGTACACACTACGTTTACTAGCATGTGTCTTGTTGAATAGTTAAATACATATTTATATATATGTATATATATATTATATGTAATATATAATCTATAAAAACATATATATATATATTCTATATATATCTAAATATAATATATATAGATTTATATTTCTAGTGCAATGGGTTCCTCATGGCATTCTAGCGCGGGCACTTTTGCCGTTGGGTGGTCGCTAGGCTTTGGAAGTGCAAGTGCGGGTGGCCACGCAAGTGGCCACCTGCATGAAGCACAAGCAGGATGCTTTGCCACCTTTCAAAAGTAGTGGAGGCTGCCCTGCAATATTCGGTAAAAGTTTACATACTGAGGCGAGGCAGAGAGTTAGAGAGAGCGAGAGAGAGAGAGAGAGTGAGTGAGTGAGTGAGTGCCCGGCGCCTCCCCTCGTCCAAACCCGGGTCGGCGGATGTCTTAAAGTTCCATTTGGTCACAGTGCTGCACAGCACCGTTTCCGGAGCCACTAAGCTGGACTCGTAGCTGTAAGTTCACCCATACTCTTTAGACAAAGCAGTTCCTCAGTTTAGTTTTGACCGAACCAGCTTAGGAGTTGGATGGATCTCTCCTTCAAAGACCAAGAGCTGACAGAGCTCTCACTGGCAGAGAAAGTCTTCCAGTGCGCACAAGGCGGGTCCAGTCCAGCCATGAAGACGTCAGGATGAAACCTCCTCGCATTGGAACCATTAGTGGAGCTTGGTCCCCTGACAGGTGTTTGTTCCTCCTTGACTTAGAGCAGAACCTGTTGTGTTTTATACCTTTCTTGGCGGGTTGCCATCATAGCATCCTGGCCCATTGGCCCATGAAGATTTACAGCGCTTGGAGAGGGTGTCAAATCTATTTGCATGTGTTAGTTTGTGGGATGTTAGGGACAGCAGCTAGCAATAGATCAAGAAGGTGCCCTTGTTTTAATCCTTTGTTCTACTGGTTGGTTGTGCAAGTTCAGAGTTCATGCTTGGTCAGTCTATTAGTTGTTGCTTAGAACACACGTGTTTCAGGCCTGGATCGCGCTTCCGCTCGCAGGAGCCTACTACGCCACAGAAGATCTCTACTACTCCCGTTTGCGGCCCCGGCTGCTGGAAGGCTGTGGGGCTGTGTGTGATGTCTCTTTGCAGACCGAGGGGCACTCGAGCTTTTGGGTCCCACAGTACTTGGCCGATGTGGAGTCTTGACATTGAAGTGGAACTGGGCGGTCCACCCCTGAGGTGCAGAACTTCAGGGCGTTGGGCGGTCCATGTTAATGAAGCACTCCGTTGTTTGGCGATCTAAAAAGTAATCTAGTAGGGGGGGTATGTTATGTTATATCAATCAACGGTCCACTTGATGCGCAAAATGTTCCTGTTTGCTTCACAGTGCAAGTCATTGATTCCAAGGATTGCGCGGCTCTCTCTGGAAATCGTGTGATCAGTCAGCCCTCACGCTTGCGGCCAGCACCCCGTTCAGTGCCGCACATCTTTCAGGAGAGCGGCATTTCTTTGCAGGAGATGAACTACTTATATGTGTTCTTCAACCTCCTACTTTCGAACTGCTACTTATATCACTGTAGACTTACGTGACTACTTGACTACTCTGAGTGGAGTTCGGGGAGAGACAAATGAAGTGCTTATGTATGACAACGAGCAAACCCTGGCACCCCAATTAGAAGGACCTGGTTAATGGAGTGGTTAATGGTTAATGCCAGAATTCTTCCAGCCGTCCAGTTGGTTTCCGAGCCCCCAAAAAATCCTGGAAGCTCCACAGAAAGCCTGGTTACTCACACCCGCACACCAAAAAATAGAACATGAACTACATCAGACTCCAAAACCCTAAGCCCACTCCAAAACGGGTGAGAATCAACCGGTTCGAACCAGCCCGAGGGCGCCCCCTTCCCCTCCGTTGAGGAGGACTTCCGCCGCGGCGGCGTGGTCCTTTGGCCGCGCTACGAGGTGCCAACGGTGCAATCCATGGAGCAGCGGTGTCGGCGCTGGAGCAAGGCCCGGATGGTCGAATTTGAACCGGTGGCGAAGGGGTCGAAGGGGTACAAGCAATAGATTCATGATGTGCATGAAACCTTCAATTTTCCTCAAAGGACATGCTTTGGACTGATAGTTTTCGAAGAGAAGAGATGAGAAGAGTACTTTGTCGGCGGTCTAGCACATCAACCCATATGCAGTCCGCTGGCTGTGCGTGGCGCGTGGAAACTCCTCGACAAGAAACAAGTCCGCTCGCCGAGTGGACTTGACACGGGGAAAAGGCCGCTCTTGGCCTGTTCGATTCGAAGAAGGTTGACATCCAAGAGAGGTTGAAGAACCCCAAAGACTATCCCATAGGTACCCCAGGTTACGGGTCCTATAAGGTCACTCAACCTCTCTTGGATTGTGAAGGAAAAACCCACATCGTTTGACCTCATTTCTCAGTGAAGGCGACTGTTCATTGGGCCCTTTTCTGTTCAAGGTGAAGCGCAGCAGCGGGTAAGTGAGAGACGCACTTGAATGTGTGTGTGTGTGTGAGAGTGTGTGTGCGTGATTGTGCGTGTTTATAATATATATATATAAGACGGGCCTGTTGTGGGTGGCAGAAAATTGAGACAAATGTTATTGTTTTTTGCAAATCCTAAATGAAATGAAGTCAGGTATGAACAGATTGCACTTTTAAGCACATGCTGGTTCCGGAGAAATAGGAACCAAAATCAGAAAAATAGAGCTGGACATGGCAATCAAGAAAAAGAATTACAGTACTCTAGCAATAGAAGATGAACAGGAAACAATGAAGAAAGGATGAACAATTCCTTTCAGTTTCCTTTAAAAATCATAAATTGATATAATTCCTTGCATGTTCCCTTTGAACAATGATCAATTCCTTTGATTTGTTGTTTAAAACATACCAATTCTGCTCATTACTTAACAAATTAATCATGGTTAAAAGGAAAATATAAAGAAACCATATTGGTTTTAAGAAAAATGAAAAATTAGTTCTCTTTAAAGGGAAATAACATGAAATAATCATGTATAGAAATGAAATGAGTTAATCATTGTTTAAACGAATTTAAAAGGAATGGATTATAACCATGTTGAAAGGAAAATACAAGTGAATAATCACTGTTCAATGGAAAATACAAAGCATTGATCAGCTTTGCCTAAAGGATGTTCACTTTAAAATTGATTAATGTAATTACTCAGGATTGATCCAAGTGAATCAGGATCAGACCAAAACCTCGAGAAAACAAAACAAAAAAGATTTGGCAACTAGTCCAGAGATCAGACTAGTTGTGGAAACAGTGTTTTTTTTTGTGTGTTTTTGTTTTTTCACAAGAATTCAGATTGAATAGTGTTTCCTGAGAAGTCTAGTAGTAGTAGTAGTAGTAGTAGTAGTAGTAGCAGTAGGAGTAGCAGTAGGAGTAGTAGTAGTAGTAGTAGGAAGTTCTGTAGCAAGTAGTAGTTGAGAGTTTTGCATTGCATTTCAGGCACACCAGATTGGGTCGGCCCAACGCAAGCGGAGCTTGAATTGCCGCCCGCGGATTCGTCAGGACAATGGTGTTGAAAGGCAACTCCATGTTTCTTGTCCACATAGTTTAATTTACACTGTCATCGGATCAGTCTCATCACAGGTGGATCTCAGAGTTGCCATCATCACCTTCGCCAATAAGGTTGGAGCTCCGTAGGGGCTAGAAAAAGGCGCTTGAACTTTTCTACCAGGAGCACTGGGAGTTTCTACCATGGGGGCTTACACTCATGCCTCATGCTCATACTCAAACTTCTCCCATTGATCAGTCGGTGACCGGTGCAGCTCAGAACTCAACTGAATCTGGAATCTAACTCAGTAAAGGGTGAATCTAACTCAGGCTGAGAGGGCACATGTTTTGAGTTGAGCAGCTGGGCAAGAAAATCTCACCGGGTGATGAAAGCAGCGTCCTAGTGTCAACAGTGAACATCATAATTCCCAAACCTTATTGGGGGAACATGTATCATGTGGATTTTCATGTAAAAACAGGGGTTCTCAGGTGGTAAAAGCATGATAGTGCCTGCAATTCTCTCCTGAGCTCTTTGGCGCCAGCACGATGCATGCTACTTTGGCCAACCTGAAAGGTATATATATATATACCTTCTAGCACCGAACCGTTGAAAAGGTCAGGATGCTGCATTTGTCCTTCCTGCAAGTGAAAACCAGGTTTTCCAAAACTCCACATCACACACCTTGGCCACCGCTGCCATTTTCTGGTTTGGTGGCCCCGGGCAGCAGAAGCCAAAGCTGAAGCTGTGGTCAAAGCAAGACTCTTAGTGTGGCAGGGAAACATTCAGAGTTGAGCGACTGGAGGAACAACGAAAACTGTGTTTTCTGTCAACCTCGTTCGTTAAAACGCACATGTTAGTCACATGCTCAACCTCACACAGCCCCAGCTGCACTAGCTAGAACTCAAAATTATGAAGCCCTGCGCCACATATTGTGCAAAGATGGCTTGCAAAGAACGGTCCAGCGTACGTTGCACTTGCAATCTCGGCGACACATGGGAGATCTGGCGTGGCCCTCAGAACTCCTCTTTAAGGAGCGACGTGCAGTGCCCTCCTCAGGCGTCAGCTTGTCCAAGTGCTTCTTCGCTTTCCTCCCCGCACGGGTATTCAAAGCGATTAAGCTAGTCGAGTGATGGAGTTTCCAAACTAGATGCATTCAGGCAGCTGAACATGAGTCTTCTTGTGTTCTGATTCCAGCACTGCCCCCCTGGCCCATAATCGGGTTTTGTTCCATAATTGAGCGCCATCGAACACGAAAACAGTTCTTGTCACTTGAGTGTTCCTAAAGAATTACTCAGCTTCACACTCAGATGTGAAACCTCGAGCGTCACCAACTGCCATCTCATCATTGAGTGCATCGAATTGGCCCTCCACTTTTTTGAATATGCTCATTCAGCTCATCCACAGACCTGTGGTATGATGGGCAGTTGACGAAGGTGCACGCAAAACAAGCAAAAACCACAACGGTCAAGTATTCACCATTGAGTCCAAAACCTTTCAGTTCCCTTGTAGCCACACAACTCTTTGACGAGACTTCGGATTTTCGATGCTTTGGCCAGCAAAGAATCCATGAACCGCTGAAGGTGGACCTTGTGCTGGTGACCTTCTGCCTGGAGCCCAGAAGCCATGAGCTTGTTTTGCAGCGAACCAGTTTTAATAAGAAGCACCCCAGAGAAAGCAAAACCCTGCGGAAGTAGGCAGGCTGTAAACTAAATGAAGGCTCGATCATTCAATATGCCTGCTCATGGGCAGCAGATTGAGAAGAACCCTTTCCAGGTTCAGCGGCCACCCTGCCATCACAGAGCTGCATTTGATCTCCACGGGCTTGTCAGCCTATACATGGCCAATTTGGTGTACAAGCGTATTCAATTACAATTCAAATCATATTCTTTTTGTTACTAGTAAGGCACTTGTTACTACTAGCGTGGCACTTGTTCCTAGTAGCTTCTTGTTACTAGTAGTAAGGCACTTGTTACTACTAGCGTGGCACTTTTGCCCAGGGAAGAGGCGGGGCCTTGGTGGTTTGTGAGTGTGAGTTCCCCGGCGTGAATTCGACGCATTCGAGATGGTCATACAGAAATGTGTTTCTTCCGCTCCGTTGGTTTTTGCCAAGGAAATGGATGGGGCCTTGGTCTTGCTACGCGGCGTGAATTCAGCATTTGGATTGGGCAGAGCTATGGGTAGAGGGTTTGTTGCGACAGGGACCCGTGAAAACCAATCCTCCCTTCCAGATTCCTCTTTAAATAGGTGGCCAGGCAGTTTGGCGTCTGACTTGAAAATGACAAGTGCCCCATGACATGTGTTGGTTGAAAACAACAGGTGTCTCATGGTGGGCGGCGGAGTTTGAAAAACACACGGTTTTCCACTTAGATGAAACAGCTCCCACGTTTCAGCTCCCGAAAAGTTTACAGTCAACGGCGGTTGAAGATGACGCGCACGATGCTTCGAGTTCCAACCTATAGGAATTCTCTAGGAAGTTCTGCTCGCCAGTAATAGCGGTAGTAGTAGTAGTAGTAGTAGTAGTAGGTAGTAGTAGTAGTAGTAGTAGCAGCAGTAGTAGTAGTAGTAATAGAAAGTAGTAGTAGTAGTAGTAGCAGTAGTAGTAGTAGTAGTAATAGAAAGTAGTAGTAGTAGTAGTAGTAGTAGTAGTAATAGAAAGTAGTAGTAGTAGTAGTAGTAATAGAAGTAGTAGTAGTAGTAGTAGGAGTAGGAGTAGTAGTAGTAGTAGTAGGAGTAGTAGTAGTAGTAGGAGTAGGAGTAGTAGGAGTAGTAGTAGTAGGAGTAGGAGTAGGAGGAGTAGTAGTAGTAGTAGTAGTAGTGGTAGTAGTAGTAGTAGTTGGAGTAGTAGTAGTAGTAGTAGTAGTAATAATAGTAGTAGTAGGAGGGGTAGTAGTAGTAGTAGTAGGAGTAGTAGTAGTAGTAGTAATAGTAGTAGTAGGAGGGGTAGTAGTAGTAGTAGTAGTAGGAGTAGTAGTAGTAGTAGTAGTGGGAGTAGTAGTAGGAGTAGGAGTAGTAGTAGGAGTAGGAGTAGTAGTAGGATTAGTAGTAGGAGTAGTAGTAGTAGTAGTAGGAGTAGTAGTAGTAGGAGTAGTAGTAGTAGTAGGAGTAGTAGTAGTAGTAGTAAGAGTAGTAGTAGTAGTAGGAGTAGTAGTAGTAGTAGGAGTAGTAGTAGTAGTAAGAGTAGTAGTAGTAGTAGTAGGAGTAGTAGTAGTAGTAGTGGTAGTAGTAGGAGTAGTAGTAGTAGTAGTAGGAGTAGTAGTAGTAGTAGGAGTAGTAGTAGTAGGAGTAGTAGTAGTAGGAGTAGTAGTAGGAGTAGTAGTAGTAGGAGTAGTAGTAGGAGTAGTAGTAGGAGTAGTAGTAGTAGTAGGAGTAGGATTAGTAGGAGTAGGATTAGTAGGAGTAGTAGTAGGAGTAGTAGGAGTAGGAGTAGTAGTAGTAGGAGTAGGAGGAGTAGTAGCAGTAGTAGTAGTAGTGGTAGTAGTAGTAGTAGGAGTAGGAGTAGTAGTAGTAGTAGTAGGAGTCTTGTTGTGAAAACTGTTGCTTTTACATTAAGTATGATTAATCCAGATTCATCTGTGCTTCTAGAGTGCAGCAGACAAACGCGACCAAATACAGGCACACATCCTCTCATGCCACCCATGCAGCAAAGCCAGTGGTAAGCTGTGGATTTGTTCAAATTTTGCTCCAATATATGATATATGCCCCAATTGTCTCAATTTTCTGCCGCCCACAAGAGGCCTTTCTGATGTGTATATATGTATATTCAAATGATATTCAAATGTTTTATGTTAGAGCCTTTAACCCCAGGACCGAGACCTAGACTGTCAAACATGGAACTTCTACTGTGGTTCGTACATCCGTCGACCCGTCACTGAACTTTGAAGCAGTTCAGAGCTGTCGTATCACAGAACTTGGGTTCTGTCAAGCCATTTTAACTTGACCTGGAGAACGCTCGAACTGGTTTCATGATACTTTACCATCTACAAAGGGGTTTTGATGTGTGCACACATGATGCCCTTCAGGGTTTCAGGGATGAAGCACTTCATGAGGTTTAGGTAAGTCTCCAATCTGGTTTTTTGCGGCCTACGCTAGACTGTGATCTTGGCTGGATCGTTCATGATCACTGACCAAAAGGGTTGGTCAGCACAGTCAAAATGGGCAAACGCAAGCCTATCTATAATTATACATACATGATTATATGTGCAGAGAGAGAGAGAGAAAGAGAAGCAACACTTTGTGTCTGTGTTTTGAACAGGAAGGCATTTCTCCGATATGTACTAGTTCAAAAGGCGAACCTTGTTCCCTTAAAATCGAAAATGCGTTATTATTTCTCAACCATAACATAATGAGCCACGGCCATCATGCTGTGTGTGGGTGTGCGTGCCACCACTCCAACGGCGCATGGCCCGGAGGACTCTGTCGAAGACCTGATGAGGCTTGTCCGTCAAATGGGTCCTGAACCCCTTCGATGGCCAGCCTTCGATGAGTTTGTCGCCTATGATTCCGAAGATCTCAACTCAACAGCGCGCTTCCTGGCCTCCTTAAAGGACTCCGATTCCGATCCTTTTTCCAAAGACCTTCTTAAGTACATACGTTTGCCTCCCATAAAAGTAACTAACCATCCGATTCCCAAGGAGTTCGGTTGATCCTGCTGGGGTAGTTGACACCAAAATGCCAAACGAAGTCTGTTTTTTGTTGGTCCGTTTTGGCGTGCCGTCCACATATGACGGGACGATATCTTCTCCCAGTCAACACCAATTCTACGCCAGATTTTAGCTCATGCGCTTCGTTATTGTTGATGGAAGCGTTTCTAAATTCTTTGCTGGGATGACGAGAAATCAAGAAAACTGCAAACTCTCCACCTGTTTGGAGGAATGTCACTGCTTCCCACAGCACAAAAGTGCACTCACCCTTGGCTGCCTCCCAACATTGCATTTGTCAATGGTGACACCTTCATTACGCGCGTCCCCCACTACTGAACACCGTCACATCTTGGGCCGGCCCTGCAGTACCATGGCTATCAACACATTCGTTTTCTCATTAGATTCTCCCAGAGGCCCCCCCCTTCATCTGGGAGACGCCTCCAAAGGACGCCATGCCGCTGCTTGGAGCAGCCCTTGGAGGGCATTGGCTGGTCTTGGGTTCCTTGACACCTTGGAGCCACGGCAAACCGTTGGCCCAAGAAGAGACCGCGGGTGGGCGCGCTGGTCGCCCAACGGCTTCTTCCTTTCTCAGATCGTGAAACGCTTCGAAAGAAAAGAAACGCTTCCAGACAAGTGTTCTTCCAGAAAGAAAGGAGGTGAAACGCTTCGAAAGAAAGAACATGGACGCGAAGCATCGATCACTTGGATTGGAAGATTGACAAGTTGTTTTGGCCCTTTGGCCCTATGTTGCTTTGCCTTTATATAGAGATACCCACCATCGAACTAAGCTTAGATTCAACCAAATTGTGAACCTAATGTGCTATCTCACTTATTTTCGTGTATTCTTTTCAGAATTCCACAGAACTTTGCTTCCTTGGAAACCGCTCATGAGATATCGAAAAAGGCGCCTCACCTCACCCAACACAATTGAGGATCGAAGCCATGCTTTTGGAGTTCGGTGTCGCTTCCAAAGTCTCCACCTTGGAATATGTCACTTGGAGCATCGAGCCTTCGCACTTCAAGGGTTTTCACGGATGGAGGTCTTTGTGGGCGAAACTGATTGAAATTGATCGTTTGCTTCTCGAGCAAAGTGTGACAGAAAGGAGGCAGAGACGAGAACTAGAGGAGGAAACAATTTGTGGTCTCGACATACCCTCTTTGGACCAGAGGATTCTGGTCCAACGCTCGAAGAATTCATATAACTTGCCTTCCAAAACGAGAACCCTTCGCTACGCATTCAAGAAAAGCTGGATTCATTTGAAGCTGACAAAACCTCAGTACCCGGACCCTTCAAGGAGTTTACCTCAGTCTTTCTCTCCGACCACCGAAGACCGAGGCCAATCTCTCTGCCTGCCCGGATCGGCATCCACACCTTCAGCCACTCCTGCCTGAGGCCGGTCACCGGTGCGCCAGTGGCGTGGCGTCTGACTGGTTGGTACGGACACAGTGGCCGTCAGGTCAGTGCGGAAAGAGGGGAGTTCTTAAGTTGTTATTTTTGTGTAACTGAACATCTAAATCGATGTTCTTGCCGCCACAGCAACTGCTCATCGTGCCCAGGTGTGGACCTAGAAGTATTGGTTTGCGTAGGACCTAGAACCTCCTGCATGGAAAAGCTCTCGCACGCCATGACTTCATGGGATGAATCAAGATCATAATGATGTTTCAAAACCTGGTCATATGAAGGACTTCAACGCCGGATATTTGAGTGAAGAGCGATTCGATGGCTTCGTCCCTTGACTGCAGCTGCACCGACTTGTACTGGTGCTGTTGACCAGATCGATACTTGTTTACATCTCCAGTCTTGCAACCTTAGGTGCAGTGGTCTTCAGTAGAACACAGTGGCTTGGGCATGTATGGTGATGAGATCAACCCTTGGGGTGATCGGCAGACGGTGGCGCAGCTCTGGTGTCGCGCCAAGACGGGGGTCGCCTGGTTCTTCTTCGGCCCAGGTCCTGAGGGCCCCGGTGGTACTGTCTTTGGGCGTGAGTCGCACAATGAGAACCGAGGCTCAGCAGGATACAGCAACCTTTTGTGTTCGTCGGATTGGTGGATGGGTTCGATGGGTTTGGTTTCAATTGTTTGAAACCTAGCAGAGGTTGAAGAACCCTATAGACCATTATAGACCTATAGGTACCCCAGGTTACGGGTCCTAGTTCAGGTCGCTGGATACCTCTGTTGGACTCTTCGTTTCGTAGGGGTAGTTTGGAGTGAACCAAAGGTTCGGTCAAATTTGGTCAGGGGACTGCAGAAATGGCTTTCGCACCGCTTTTGGTGCGGGTACGTCATGTACGTCGCTGTTTCGGTTCCTGCGTACTGCGCTTCGGCGGACGCAGGAACTTCAGGGCGGTGCGGTTCGTTGATTATTGATCCTCCTGCTACTTCCTTACGAGGTGGAAATAGATCCTCCTGCTACTTACTCCTGCTACTTCAGGGGGTGTCTTTTTTCCTTTACGTCGTGAAAATATGTTGTGGCAACGCGCGTACGGGTGCGTACGGGGGGGATGCAAGGGACGGGCAACACGCATCCTTGTGTACACATCGCACGCTTGCAAATTCAATGCCTACTTGTTTTGGCCATGTGCAATAATTGTGTGGCCTATCTCTCGACTGCTTCAGTCTTTGGAGGTTTTGCATGTTCAAAAATCGGACGTTGGTGTAGCTCCTACTTCTGTGCGGTCAAGCAATGTAGCAATGAACGTGATATGTGCACACTCGCCGGCTTACATGCATGTGTGCATGCTTTTACATTTGCTTGGCCTAGCACGTGACAAGATTGCCGCCCGCGTGTCAAACATCTCGCCACGCACACCTTCTTGCTCATGGAAGATGGCCTTGGATTCGGGCAAGATCCGGTTGAGGGCTGGTCAAGTGATGGTACCCGAAGCATTAGACTTGTTTGATTGATGATACAGGTAGTGCCTATAGTTATATCTGGCCCGACCTATTTGCACGAAGGCCTTTTGGATGGGTTATTTATTTGGGGCGACAGCTCCCTTTGCTGGCCAGAAACTGCAGGATCTGGCCGTCACTCCGGAAGCCACTTCGAGGAAAAGCTGTTTTGGAACGCGGGCCGTGACTACGGCCGTGAGATGATGGGGCGCTTGATGCTGAATTGGAAGCTGGTTAGACCGGCCAACAGCACCTGGAACTTTCATGTATTTCAACATCGTGAAAAGAAGCGCTTATGCTCGTGCGGATGGGTAGTTTGAGAATGGTTATGGGGCTTGGTTTGGCATACAAACAGTTAAAGTTTAATCAAACATACTTGTATGAGCCGTTTATATTCAATTATATTGGGCCAATTTATAGGAAAAATATGCGTTTATATTTCAAAAGGTGTATTGTAGAGCTTCGCGCACTGGCATCGCCATAACTATCATAAGGATGGGTGTTGTGGCTGTTGCTCTTTTTAAAAGAGGTGGTGGCGGCGGTGGTGGTAGATGGAGGACATCCCGAAGGAGCAGAAACATACAAAGGATGTGAAGGCGGCAGCGCTAACCCCTGCAGAAACGCCGCTGTGACATCAGCGATGTTGACAGTCCATCCAAGGGTTGTTGCAATGCGTAGCAACAGGGAATGAGCAAGAGACAGGGCTGTTGGACTGGCCGCTTCATACTTGCCTAGATGAGGGTCTAAGTGACCACCAACACACAAGCGCCACTTTGGCTCAAAACTTTGTGCCAACGGTTTCTTGTTCATTGTCACCATGCACGACTTGATGATTCTACCCTTTGGCACATTTGTTGGTTTCCCAAGCACACTGATCTGATGGCCTGATGGTCAAGCAGGCACTGTCAAACGAAGTTGAGCTGGAGTCATGTCTCGTGTCTCAGTGTAGATGTCGTTGCCAGCACCAGGAAGAGATGCATCCGCCGTGACCCCTTTCCAAGATGCATTGCTTCAATTCCTGATTCTTCAAATCTTGCTTTCCGAGCATCTGCCTTGAGCTCGAGACGATCTTCATTAATATTGGAGGTTTTGGTCACAGCCTAAAGCCCAACAGGCTGCAACCGGCTTGGGTAGCCCCAGGGACCACACCTACCTCAAAAACAGGAACCTGTGCGAAGGAGCCCCTGCCCCTGATGAATCAATCTGGCATGGGCGTGCAGAAATAAATCAATTAATCTCGTTTTGTGATTTTGTTCAACTTGCCTCGAAGTTCTCAATTCCTTTCGTTCAACCTGCAGGAGGAGCCCTTCTGGCAGCAATTCACCAGCTTGGCGCGGGTCAGCATCAACCTCACGGCACAGTGACTCCAAACACCTGTGGGTTTGCTTAAAGTTTTGTTGAATCTTTGTCCAAACATCCGCTAAAGCACCACGATCAAACTGCCTTTGTCCTTTGTTTGAAACTGGCTTCTTCAAGACTTTGTGGGGTCTCATGTTTATGGAATGATGCGGCGCGGAACAATGATTGGTTGCTTTGGGCCATTCGGACATGGGGCCAGACAGGAAGAACTACACTCGCAACGCACGAAGCGGAGCATAGCCGTTGCCATCATGATTGGCTGCTTGCCTCGACAGTTCGATCTGTGAGAGCTTTGGGGAGCATTTGAGGGAACAGTGATTGGTTGTGCACTTGGTTGGTCACTGAGCAACGTGAATCCAATTCAGGACCGGAAGTGCATCGGCATTGATCGGTTCTGTTTCAATCAGACCGGAGGCTCTGATGCATCCTGGCCTCCTGCACCCATCTCCGCCGACGAGGCGGGCGCGGGCTTTCTACGTTGCGCTGGCATAGCGCCTCTCTACCATACGACCTGGATCGTATTGAGCCCCAACAACATAATCGAAGCCTAATCCGGGCGCCGGCCCCGGAGCCCGTGTCCTTGCCGGAGGCCTTCGGTGGTTACCGAAGGTAACTAACGCTCGCGCCCCCAGCCGCCGACCCGCCCTGGACAACTCGGGCCGACCGGGGGGACCGCGGAGGGACTGATCCCCTTGTAATTTACAGTGTATTCTACGCGTGGTGTTCAAAAACGTTATATTTTACAGGGTTTCGGGCCCTTCGGCTGCAATGGATTTCATCCTAAGGGCGATGGTAAAAAAAAGAACTTGGCTTTTACGTGGCTCGGGCCTCGGAGAGGAGGTCCGGGACGGAAAAAACTCGCATCTTAAGAATATGTTAAAACATAAGTGGCACATTTTACTTCCAACATAGATCTAACATAGGCCATAGGCCTAACATTGCCTAAAGATGGGCCAACATAGCCCCAAGATGGGCCAACATTGGCCTAAGACGGGCTTAATATGGGTCCGAGATAGGCCAACATAGGCCTAAGATATGCCCAAGATGGGCCAATATAGGCCCTAGCTGGCCCAACATGCGCCCAAGGTGGGCCAACATAGGCCCCAGATGGCCCAACATAGACCTTAAATTGCCTTAACATTCCCGCAAGACCGCCCGGGTTCGATTTGGCCCCAGTACCATAAGGAGGAACCACCGCAACAACAACAACAACAACAACAGTCATCCATCTTATACACATATGAATATGTCTAGATATATGTGTGCGTGTGATTGTATTTGTTTGATATCCGCCCCGCATATTTGTCTTCTTTTGTGTCGGCCGGCGCCCGGCTATTAGGCGTAAATTTTTAAAGCATTGTCTATTAGAATTATTGTGGTGTTTCGACGTAACCATGTAAAATAGAAAATATAGAGTATATGTTTTTTGGGGGGATACGATTCGGAAAGGAAAATTTAATTATATATAGTATATTTATTATTTTTGTTTTTAATGTAAAGAATTGGAGAAATAGATGGTATTTAATTTTATTTAAATATAGATATATTAAGAATCATGGATTGTTTTTTACATTATTATATAGAAATAGAATATTGATTATATTATAAAAATATTGATTTATTTTTATAGTTGTATAATGAAATTAATTATAATATATTTAAATAGGAAACATATATATTATAGATTTTAGGTGGATGAAATTATATTGATTTTTTTGATTTGGGTACATAAAAGGAAATAGAAATGATATTAAAATATAATTATTAATAAGAAATTATAATCTAAACAATTAAATTGCTTATAATATGAATATAATGATAAATATAAACGATAATAAAATAGAATAGGACGAAAATAGAATGAATAAAATTGGAAATAAAAGGAAATAGAAAATAAATAAAACGAAGATAATGATTAATAAACAGGAAATAGAAGGACGGGGAAATAAATATAATAAAAAATAAAGCAAAAAAAAAATTATATAATGATGAATAAAAAGATGGATAGAATCGGAATAATTTGATTTAATAATAAAATAAAAAATACAAAATTGGGTATAGAGGAAATAAGGCGGATATATTGGTTAACAAAAAGAAAAATAAATCGGACGGAAGGCGGTTATGTTGTCTCGTAATAAGGCGGATATCTTTAGAAAGCCTTGAGAATATCTAATAATTATTTGTTTGGCAAAATGTAGGAAAGGGCGGACGTTAATAGGGTAGGCTACGAATATTGGAAATAAATTATATGGAAAATATTAATAGGAATGAATCTTGAATTGAAATCTTTGTTATGAAAGCGAGCTTAGCGGAAGTTGGCACGATTAAAAATTGATAAATTTAATGAATTAATTGATTTGTTTATTTCTAGGGAGAAGGGAGGATTCCCCTTTTTTTATTAATTTTTCAATAATTTTCCATCCTCGTAAAGGATTGGATATTTTAATTGTAGATTGAAACGTCTAAGGGGGGCGGTCCCCCTATAAAATGAATTGAAAGAATCTATTCGATTCTTCTTTCGTCCTTATGAGAAAATATATTAAATATCTAGAAAATACCATATGAAAATAAATATTTTCTTTAATATTCCGTTGATATTCCCAATAGTACTTTGCGCGCGTGGCACAAAAGCGTTGCATTATTGCCTTCCCTCCGCGTCCCCTTAATCTTTCTCCATGTTTTATGTTCGTCTATAGTCCTCAAATATGACCAACGCAAATGGGCGGATACTAATAATGATAGAAGGACGGACCCAATTTAATAAAGATTTGAAAAATCCTCATAATATATTATTGGAGGAATGAATAGAAATGATGCATCGCCAATGGAAAAGGACGGACACTAGCAATGGCAGATCTGGGAGACAAATGAACAGAGATGTTATATGGTCATCGGAAAAGGATGGATAATTATTAGTGACAGATTTCGAAAATAAATGAATAGAAATAAATGAATGGAAATAATTTTAATGATCTTGGCAACAAAAAAAAAACATTAATGACAAATCTGGAATATACATGAATATATATAGTCAACAGAAAAAGACGAATACCATCAATTAGACACCTGGGAGACAAATGCTTCATGACCAGCGGATGGATATTATTAAACCATTGATAATTGGAAGATAAATGAATAGAAATACTACATGGCCAATGGAAAGGGTGGATACCAGCAATTATACAAAACGCGGATATATCTTAAGAATTGAGATCCCCTAACAATAGTTTGTTTGATAAAAAATATCGGAATTGAAAACGAAATAGATCTTATTGTAATTCATTCATTCAATTACTAACAAACGAATCAGGTCTGCCCGTGTTGGGCCGCACGATTAAGCGTGGATCCTTCAGGAGGATCTATGGCCCATCTGGATGCGAAAGTGCTCATGTTAGATGATGTGAGATCAGAGCACCGAGTGGGACCGACGTGGGATTGACAGCGAAATTCTATTCGAATCTTTTGCATGGGGGGAAATCATAATAGATAGATATTTTGGTAAAATGCATTGTCTCTAACAAATCGTGTCGATTTCCGATTGTCATTATATAAAATGCCGGCACCTAAGTTGAACAGAACAATCTGGTAATGGCCGCCCACTGGAGTGTGACCGATATGTATGCCTCCGGCTAGGATTTGGAATTCAATTCGTTTTGTTATGATTGTTTTGTTGTTGCCAACAGCCGTTTTTGGCGTGGTCTGCAAATTGCCACCCGGTTGTTGGATTTTTTCTACGTTCGGCCAATACCTCTTTTTATGAAGATCCAGACGACGTTAGGCATTTTCGTTCGTCGCGGCTCGCCCCGTTCGATCCTCTAGGGCCACGGTGTTTTGCTGTGGCGAGAATGCCATTTTGGCGCGGCGTGCGGGCTGCCAAAAGAAATAATTTGAATACGATTCTTAGATTATTCTTGCCCATCCCCTTTCCCAATTCCGGTAAACCCTCCTAGACCAGGGCAAT